CCCAAGTAAGAAGCAGAAGAAATCACACAGAAGTCAGCCTGGCCATGTGCTGGAGTCCTAGGTGGGTGAGGATGTAGGGGTCTGTCTTGAGTTGTTGGTCCTGAGCAGGATGGTGAAGATATTCCTGCGGAGAAGTGGCCTGGCCACACAGGGGAGGGACTGTGACAGCCACGGGAAATTGGTTATAGACCAGGACACTGACTAAATAAAATATATTAAGGATAATGGGAGTAGAATTAGATTTTCACCGGAGGGGAAGGGAGTTACAAATATGAAATTTGGAATTAGAGGTAAGTGTATGAGCTCAAGATTTTCAAAATGAAAGATGCAGAGGGAGAGGGAATAAAATATATAAATGTATACATGTATTCCCTGGTTTTGGCTACTGAAAGGGACTAAGTAAAGCAAAAAGCTTAATTGCAATGACACAGCACCTGGAGCTCAGATTGTAAATATCATCCTTCAGTGAAAGGGACTGTCTTCTTTCGAGAAATGGCTGATTCCAGAGCTGGGGCTGGGAAAATGTAAAATGAGACTTGAATACCTTTTTGTGCCCCGAAGTGAGGAAGTGCTCCTGGACGATGGAGACATGGCTATGGGACACAGAAGTTAGCTTGAAAGGACTCACTTTGGCCAAATCTGACACAATGTGAATCTCAAAGTAAATCATGAAAATAACAGATTATAATCTGTTATTACTATAAATAAATAAATGAATGAATTGAAAGTTTGTTGAGGAATGAAATATTTACCTAGTTTCAAAGTACTTCTTCAGAAAATACCTACCAATTATAAAGGGAAAGAGAAGAATGTTATAGAGGAGATGCCTGACAGGGACCATCACCTTAACCAAGTGAGGATGATCCATAATGGGACACATCAAAATTGGGTGAAATATGAGAGAATAAAAAAAAAAAGAATATAGTATTACACTTCCATGTTTTACCCAAAGATTCGTAACCTGAGTCTAACATAAATATTTGTCCAGATGGCCATAGTTTGCTTATAATGGAAAAAATATTAATAAACACAGGGAGGGGACAAGCCTATGATATACTGTTATATTATTACTAAGTAGTGAGTATGTACAATTTACTTTCCTGTGAGAAAAGGAAAAGAAGTGGCTATAGGTACTGGGTAATGCCTTTTCTTGGCTCTTGATTTCCTTGCTAAAATATATTTTCTGGGTCTTTACTCATTTGCTCTTGGAGTGGTGTTGCAACGTATTTGATAAATACATTTAGGAATAAACTTGGGAAGAATTACTGGGTGTGCAGGGTTCAGCTACACCCTTAATCTCTTTCTCTGTCTCTCTCTGTATCTCTGTCTTTGCCTCCATCTCTCTCTCTCTCTCAATCTGTCTGTCTCTTTCTCTCAGAGATCTCAGGAAACAGAATTTAACTCCTTTTTCAAAAGACATCTCCTCCTAGGTAGGGAGACCAGGAACCCTGTGACTGAAACTACTATTTTGATTGTTCAGTTTTAGATCCACCAATTCAAACCAAGTCTCTGTCAATAATACAGGCAATATTTTAGCTTCTGTTTTAAACTTTTGTTTTATTTCTCAATTTATTCCCAGCCCAGGCATTGAGAAGGGATGTTATTTATTGGAGAGTAACTCTCTCAGGGACCTCAGTGATCCTTGGAGGGCACAGAGCAAATGTTAGCAATGGGTACTCTTGGTAGTGAAAATACAGGTGATATTTATTTCTTTTTTTGCATTGGCCCTATTCATTTTTTTTTTTTTTTTTTGCACTGAGTTTCATATTCTTAATCTGGAGGACAAAAACAAAATAAGAGATAAAAGGATGGAAATGAGAAAGTAAATGTAACACATTAATTTTGTAACCCAGATCTCCTAGGAACTCAATGAATAGAATTTGGCTGCGGTTTCACCTCGCAAAAACATACATGCTCCCTTTTCAAGTCACATAACTGAGATTTTGAATTACGTCTTGGTCTTTATTATCTTTAAAAAAAAATTGTCAAATACTCTAAATGATGGGTTTGCAGTAACATACAGCTATACCAGTGTGTTTTTTGTGTATTTTTAAAAAAGATTTATTTATTTATCTTAGAGAGAAGAACATGAATTGGGGGGGTGGTGGGCAGAGGGAGAGGGAGAGAGAATCTGAAGCCGACTCCATGCTGAGTGTGGAGCTGATGCGGGGCTTGATCTCAGGACCCTGAGATCACGACCTGAGCAAAAACCGAGATTTGGATGCTTAACCGACTGTGCCACCCAGGCACTCCATTTTCGTGTATTTTTGTAATAATCAACAATAAAATTGTTATTCTCAACATAAAAAACACGTAGGTTGTTTGTTTGTTTTTGTTTTTTTGTCCTTGTCAAGGTTCTTTCAGTTCAAGTAATAGAAACTTCAAACTGACTTGAGCCAGAAAATTAGTTTAAAAATTATTTTAACCGTGCTTTCTATGAACAGTGATGAATGTGAAGAATTTTCAAATAGAAATCTGAGTATTTGCAATGGGTAGAATTAGGCACATTGTAATGGTAGTGCCCTGCCAGGGCCTCTGAAGCCCTCCGTGGCATTGCTTTTCTTTAATAGATCGGATTTAAAATCTTGTTCTGTTTGGTTGTAGTGTTTTTGAAAATTTCGTTCTTGACATCCTTGAGATTTTTATACCTCTAAGCCATTTCATAAAACAGTTCATATCAAAAGTCAGGTTACAAAAATTACAAAGCAATAGCATGCAATGATTGGAAAAAGACAGTTATGGGGATTCATGCATCCCCATTCACCCATCCATGATGGATGCACTTTACAGTTATAGTTTTTTTCTCTTTTTTTGGCAACTTCCAAGTCTCGTGAAAGGGGAGCATAGAGAAGGCTATCAAATGTCTTCAAGAAATTATTTTAGTGGCTAATTTAGGGGGAAGCTGGAGCAGTAGAGAATCCCTACTCAGAAGGAGAATATAAAGTCTTATCTCTGAGAACCTGGGAGTTGTGTAAAAGTCCACGTGACCTTCAACATTGACTCAGGGGAGAAAGGGTTTGGAAGAACTTCTCTTCAAAGCCATCAGAAGCAAATGAGTAAGAAGTACATGTTATGAGCCTGTCCATTAATTCATAGGATAGTGCTTATAATGTTTGATCTCTGCAGCCTGATTTGTTCTTATGCCCTGCACTTGTTCAAGTGAAGCTATAATATATTGAAGGCTGATCTAGTGCTCCTCAAAACAGGGTCAGCAGATTCTAGTGGTTTGTTGATGTATTCTTGGGAATCTAGAATTCTCTATCAGAGTTTTAAGATACTGTGTTAAGAGAAAAGATCTGTATATTTATAATGGCATGATATAAGTACGAATTTGGATAGGTAGTCAACCTCCTTATTCCTAAGTACTGGGCTAGCACTTGATTTATTTTCATAATCTTTATTGTTTATAGTGGTTATAGTGGTTATAAATTAATGGTTTACTTACAATTATTTAGAAACAATTTAAATTAATTGTTTGAGGTTGTATACAGAAAAAGCAATTAGCATTGTCCTTAGACTGTTTTTAATGAAATTATTTACTGTGTGTTTGACTGTTGTGATAAAAGAGAAAACAGTTAAAAGAGGACCCTGACCAAGTATGAAGAGGCCTGATTTCTGGTCCTAGCTTTATTTAGCACTTCCTAATCATGAGATTTGGGGTAAGTCAGTTAAGATTCTAGGACTTTAGTTACCTTGTATTTAAAATGAGAGAGTCTGACTAGAGCTAGGTGATCCCTAAATTTAGTTTCCATTTCAAAAACTGCAAGCTATATCTTTTTTAATGGAAAAAGCATCAGGGAGAAGAAAATTGGTTCAGTTAACAAGGTCTTTGGGGGATATTTTCAGTACCATCTTTTCTTAATTATAGTTAAATATAGTGGGATGAAAGAACCAAATATTTATTGAGTGCCTTCTCTGTGCCTGACACTACTCTATTTTAACCCCTGCAAATGTGACCGTGACTCTGTGAGTTTGATTATATAATTCCTTTTGGCAGTTGTAATTGTGTTGAGTGTCCTAGGGCACAGAATGAGTAGTATGGAGTCTGGAAAGGGATCTGGATTGTCTGCGTCTAAGCCCTGGATTCCACTGTAACACATATATGTTTGCTAAGCCTTACCAAATGCTTTATTTTTCTTTATCCATCTATTTTCACATTCAAATGAAAATCTAGCAAACTAAATTGAGCAGCATCTCGAAAAATGTTAAGGTCCTCACATCCTTCAAGAATGATTTACATGAGGATACTCCTCCTCCTCCTTCCTCCCACACAAAGGTTTACCAGTTTAAGAATGGTTTGTTGTGTTTTCCCTTAAACCCTACACCGAAGTTCTGAATTCCGATGTGCACACATGAATGAAGCAAGTGAGCATGATCTGGTGGTTGAAGCAGTCTTCTTTTTCTTTTCTAAGGCATAGTAAAGTGAGGAGATTTAGGCGGAGTTAAAAAATTAGGAAAAATGAAAAATGTCTGTGCAGATACCGTCGGGACAGCACCACCAACTGTGGCAATGCTTTGCTGATAAAGGTTGTAAAGAAAGCACGTTCTACTCGTATTCTTGTGTGTGTGCTTCTTCTGGCACTTTTTTCTTATTAAGCCTCAGAGGTGTTTTAAAATTGTGTTAGGAAACACAGAGAGATTAGGGAAGGCAAATAGTCCCCATCTAGGGCTTTAGGGAGGAGGTTCAAAAGGAAACTTGGCGGGGGACGGGGATGGGGGTGGGGGCACTGTGTTTTTGCTTCTGTCCCGGCTAAGCACCGGCTAAGGTAAGGCCTCTCCGTCTACAGTCGGGTTTCTCTCCCATTTCACTCTCTCCCTTAGGTCCCGCCTGCAAACACCAGACAGCCCAGTGGGCCCATAGGAAACGACCATCAGAGCCTGAAGCAAGTCCGAGAGCTCGCACACAGGCGTCCCGTTTGCAAGTGTCCAAGGAGACCGCCAGAAGTGCACCAGCCGGAGTCTGAGAGTTCCCTTCTGGCCGAGAGGGGGAGCCCGGCGTTCCCAGCCGGGAGCGACCCGGAGTCCCAAGCCTCGAGCCCCAGCCGCCGCCAGTTTTAGCTTCAGCCGGTTAGGAAGAGGAGGGAGGGGGCAGAGAGCGCGAAGAGGGAGGGGTCCCGGGCCGAAGGGTCCCGAGTCCAGCACCGTGTTGACGTCGAAAAACTTTCCCTCTCGGCCGCGGAAACGGCGCCCCGGCCGCGTAGGACTGGAGACCGCCCGGCTCCGAGGACGCGGCAGCTCTCCACGCCCCTGCCCGAAGCCTGACCCGGCTGCATCGGTCCGTAAGGTATGCAGAGACCGCGATTTATCTGGGGGGTCTTCCCGGGCTGCAAGCCCAGCCTCCCCGTCAGGTAGCGCGCAGTCTCTCTTAAACTGACATCCCGAGAGGAGGCGGGCGGTGGTCAGCGCCCGCCGCGGGTGCCTGGGAAGGAGGGCGCGGGGCTGCGCGTCGCCGCTGCCGCCGGCGGGCAGGTTGCAAAAATTAGGGCAGTGAAAGGCGCCGGGAGTCTTCCAGCCTGAAGGGAGGCGAAGACCTGTTGACGACTGCCATGGCAGTGCTTGAGGGATGACGGGGGAGCCTAACGAGGTCGAGGACGCATCGGGCTCGCCGCTGCGGGATCCTCTTCCTAGACCTTTGTGGTAACTTTGGGCCGGGTGGCCAGGGCCGGTGGGCGGGAGCGGGCGGGGGGGGCGGGGGGGGAGCCGGTGGATCGGCACGGCTGAGGGTGCGCGGACCCGACGGGACGGAGCCGGCGACTCATCGCCGGGTCACTAACGAGGCGACCCAGGAGGGAAACTTCTTACAGCGTTAACCTCCCTTTTGTTGGCTCCAGGAGAGAGTGTGGGCATGGGGGCGGGGAGGCGCGAAGCTCTTAGGCCGGCTCAGGATTTTTTAAAGCCAGCGCTGGGAGGGCCCCAATTTAGGGGCGGCGGCCGCACCGTTAACCTTTGGCTGGGCGGGTCAAGTAGTTCCTTGTGGCCGGCGCTACGTTAGGAGGGGAGCGCGGCGCGGCGTGGTGATGAGACCGTGGGCTCTCGATCGCGCCGCCAGGCTCGCTCGCCCGGGTCCACCTCCTCGTGGGCTGGCTCACTACACCAAGCAGAACCCGGCGCTCGGATCTTCCGTGTGGCTCCTGGGGCGCCGCGCCGACTTCCCTGTGTGCGGGAGGGAACTCTGGGCAGGCTGGTTTTCTTGGAATGTGTTTACGATGTTGAATGGGACTTGAACAGGAAGCCGGACGCTGCAGTTGGAACTGCAGCGTGCCGGGATAGAGTAAGGAAGGCTTAGCTGATGTTGGACTTGGAGAGTCCGCTTAGCATGTTGGGCAAGCCCCTCGTAGGTGCAGGATGTCAGTGAAAGTACCCCTTCGTGGGTCCCAACAGTTTTTCTCAATTGAGCTCGCTTTACTTTCACGTGCAATCAGGCATTTTACATGTACGATTTCAGTCTGCAAGTTTGATGAGGTATAATGCAATCCATTAGGAAGTATTTAATTGAGTTCACTTTCGGACCTGCTTTTTAGAAAAGAAATGTTGCATCAACACAAGAATAAAAGTTTCTGGGGAGTGTTCTGGTTACGGTTTCTCTTGTTAATTTCTAGGAGTGGTAGGAGACCACAATACTGATGGTTTTGTGTCTATGATACCAAATGGATGATAAAGTGCTAAAGGAGGGCGGTATTGAGAGTGAATGTTAGGGGGTAGGGAAGTCTGAGAGGAATTGGAATATTTTCAGATTTGCAAATCTCCCCCTTTCTCTGCCAGTCTTTCCCTCCTTCCCCCACATAAACAAGTAGCCTTGCTAGAAAACCCACCAATTGGGAGAGTGCAGTCGCTGGCGACTCCAAGCCTTGCTGGAAACAGCAGACAGGCGAAGGTACTGGCCCATTGCATAATTAAAAGGTCTCCTTGAGCTGTCCAGGAGTGTTTTCCAAGTTTTTACGACTGACAAGGAAAGAAGAGAGGAACCTGGCCGGCAGCCAAACCAGACTGGGCTCAGTAGCCAGGCATGAAAGAGACTGGGGAACTTGCAGGGGATAATTGGAAAGGAGCTGTTGGGTACTTGGGTTTAAACAAGGGGTTTCTTTTGCAATGAGAATTTTTAGGTGACTAAGATCAGTCTTCTTGGCAAAAAAAATAAACTAAGCAGAGAGTGCAGTCGGATGTGACAAAGGGGAGAGTGAAAGAAGTGCTCTAGAAGGGAAGTCTGACCCTCAATCAGTGTTGCAGTGGAATTGCTGGGGGCCTGATGCTGCTTGTGCTGATCATACTTGTTCATGTTCACATTTTGTTGCCATTTGTCTTCTCAGCTTGGACTAGGCTTGCTGCAGCTTCAATCCCTTGACCTTGTCCTTCCTTGTTTTCATAGCCAGTAAGAATCCAAGGCTTGGGCTTTGAGCAGATGGTTTTCCACCTAAATTGAATAATTCAATTAGGTGTTCTCAAATGGCACAGATTTGGGTCATGGAGTTAAAGTGGAAAACGTGTTTAGCATGTCTTCCTTGTGTTTGTCAAAAGTGACCCCCATAAATGGATCTTGCCCTTTCTCTTGAAGGTGTAGAAGTTGGGGTGATCTCACAATTTCACACAGTATTTGCCCAATTCTTAAGGCCCTGCTGCTCCCAAGTTCCAGATTAGCCAGGAACTCAGCCTTATCTGCAATTCAGATCCTTCTTTTTTTTTTTATTTATTTTATTATTTTTTTTAAAGATTTTATTTATTTATTTGAGAGAGAGAATGAGAGATAGAGAGCACGAGAGGGAAGAGGGTCAGAGGGAGAAGCAGACTCCCTGCTGAGCAGGGAGCCCGATGCGGGACTCGATCCCAGGACTCCAGGATCATGACCTGAGCCGAAGGCAGTCGCTTAACCAACTGAGCCACCCAGGCGCCCAGATCCTTCTTTTATGTGTTAAATTTGTGTCTGCATCCTTCCTTCCTTCATTCCCTTCTTTCTTTCCTTACTTCCTTTACAGGGAGGTTGGTTTACTGTTGTGAGTTTGGGGTTTGAATGGTACAAAACGCTAATATGGATTGTATTTCCACTGAATTGGTGAGTTTGAGATTGTGACTATCAGTCTGCCCTCTGAGACTGACTTTATGAATCACTCTTGGCAAAGTGTTTTCCCTATGATTTCAGTTTTTCCACTTGCAAAGTAAAGAAACTTTACATAATTACAAGTTTACTGTGAGCATTAAAGAGATGAAATTATGTTAATAGGTTTTTAGAAATATAAAGTCATAGAGTTTCTTACTCAGTTGATTCAATTGAGATTATAGGGGTAAAAGAATAATATTTATATTTAGTATACACATATTATAGTGACATATCTGTATTTAATATAAAACAATTACTAAATCATAGCTTTAGTTTAATCAGATTTTAATATTAGAGAATATTGGGTGAGATTTTGTTATGGTTAAAGCTGAGTCATTCTCAGAAAAATACAATCAGCAAATTGTTTTTCTTTTGGTTTATATTTATAATCAGGACCAGTTAGTTTTTAAGTCCAGCTCAATTTTGCCTTTATGAGAAGTTACCAGATATGTTTGCAAAATTTGGCTCCCTTCTTGGAAATAACACTTGAGGGACTAAAATTACATTTATGGTGTACATCTTTTCCCAAAGGCCACAACAGTTTCCTTTTAAGAGTTTAGAGAGTAGGTTTAGGAGCCTTTCCTTAATTGATTCAACCAATATTTGTTGCATATTTTTTACGTGCAAGGCAATAGCAGGCTTAGATTCAAATCCTAGCTCTGAACTTCTTAATTTTGTTTGTTATTTTACTTTTACCAACATATAATTTATTGTCCATTTGCTATCTATAATGTAAGCACTTGTTTCACACATAATTGTGAATATTTCACTTTTAGTTTGACATGCCAATTAGCAAAATAAACTACCTGTTATAGATTAATGTACTGTATTGTATGCATGGATGTTTATTTTTCAGGTGAACAGGTCAATGTATTAGAGAAAGAAAGTAATAAGTATGGATAAATTGTTTAAGTAATTAAATCTTTGGTGAAATACTTCATCGTAACTTATTTTTATTTAAAAAAATTTTTTAAAGATCTTTTTTTTTTTTTTAAAGATTTTATTTATTTATTTATTTATTTGAGAGAGAGAGAATGAGAGATCGAGAGCACGAGAGGGAAGAGGGTCAGAGGGAGAAGCAGGCTCCCTACTGAGCAGGGAGCCCGACGTGGGACTCGATCCCGGGACTCCAGGATCATGACCTGAGCCGAAGGCAGTCGCTTAACCAACTGAGCCACCCAGGCGCCCACATCTTTTTTTTTAAAGATTTTATTTATTTATTTGGCAGAGAGAGACACAGCGAGAGAGGGAACACAAGCAGGGGGAGTGGGAGAGGGAGAAGCAGGCTTCCTGCAGAGCAGGGAGCCCAGTGCGCGGCTCGATCCCAGGACCCTGGGATCGTGACCTGAGCCGAAGGCAGATGCTTAACGACTGAGCCACCCAGGCGCCCCTAAAGATCTTATTTATTTATTTTATTTGAGAGAGAGAGCACGTGCAGGTGTGCGTACTTGGGGGAGGGGCAGAGGGAGAGGGAGAGAGAGAGAATCTTAAGCAGACTCCACACTGAACATGGAGCTCCATCTCACAACCCTGAAATCATGACCTGAGCCAAAACCAGGAGTCTGAGGCTGAGTCACCCAGGCGCCCCGTTAGACTATCTTATTTATAGTGAATGTATAAAAAGTAGGAGTATAAGGGTGATAATAGTTGAATTTATAGTTATAGTAACAAAATAGGCACACTTTTTGAGTAATCAAAGGACAAGTGAAGGCTCAAGGATATATTAGGGTAGTAGTTTTAATGTAAAATATCCAGTTTTGCTTTTGAATTTAAAAATCTGGAAAATCTTTAATCTCCATTGATGAACATTAGATAATTTTTATTTAAATTTCACTTAACAGAGCATTTTGTTCGTGATTCATCCTATAAAATCGCAGTTTGTTTTCTAAAACCTCTAAAAGACAAAAAAAAGTTTTTTTATTTGAATGTAATAATAAAATCAAAAGTAGTTACCACAGGAGTCAACCATATGGTTACATGAGCCCTTGTCCCTAAACGTATCAGAGGCTGCTGGCTCTAATGGTGCTTTGCCTTAACACATTTAGAGGTCAGGAAACTTCAGCTTGTTCCTATGGCAGCTTAAATATGTTCAGATTAGAAGAGGGAAGATGGTGTAAATTTTGAGCAGGGAAATCTCTTTGCTTTCAAGCAGTGGAGATATGAAATTGAAATCAGGCCTTTATTTTAAAGAT